GAGACAGAGAGAGAGAGACGGGCGTCTGTCATTCTTTTACCTGCTCTCGCTTTAGGCATTGATTCTGTCTTGGGGGCGGAGCCAGTCGTGATGGCCTGCAGGGATTGGTTGACTTGGCTGCGCGAGAGAAGCAAATGGGGCGGGGCTCAGAGTTAAACTCATGTCATGTGACTGTGTGGGGGTGGAGCTTACGGGGTTTTAAGTGCTAATTATTCACGTTACTGGGATCGTGGTGAAACAATGAATGAAAATCAAACGAAAAATGAATGATGTGCTTGATAAACATTAAATAAGATTGCGGTCGTACCTGTAGGCGGCGCCGTTGAGCTCAGGATGAACCTGCTGCTCCATCAGGCCCCAGGAACCTGATGACACAAAGAACTCCTTATTGACACAGTTCCTCAGACTGTCAGGAATCCGGCCTGAGAAACAAAAAAAGAGTGCTTTAATCATCAGATCAGCTCGTGAGTGAGTGAATGAATGAATGAATGAATGTGAGTGAGTGAGTGAGTGAGTGAGTGAGTGAGTGAGTGAGTGAGTGAGTGAATGAGTGAATGAGTGTGTGTGTGTGAGAGTATATGTGTGTGTGCGCGTGTGAGAATGTGTGCGTGTGTGTGCGTGCGTGCTAGTGAGTGAGTGAGTGAGTGAATGAATGAGAGTGAGTGAATGTGAGTGAGTGAGTGAGTGAATGAGTGAGTGAGTGAGTGAGTGAGTGAGTGAGTGAGTGAGTGAGTGTGTGAGTGAGTGAGTGAGTGAATGAATGTGAGTGAGTGAGTGAATGAATGAATGTGAGTGAGTGAGTGAGTGAATGTGAGTGAGTGAATGAGAGTGAGTGAGTGAATGAATGTGAGTGAGTGAATGAATGTGAGTGAATGTGAGTGAGTGAGTGAGTGAATGAATGTGAGTGAATGAGTGAGTGAATGTGAGTGTGAGTGAGTGAGTGAATGAGTGAGTGAATGAGTGAGTGAATGAATGTGAGTGAGTGAGTGAGTGAGTGAATGAGTGAGTGAATGAGTGAATGAATCAGTGAGTGAGTGAATGAATATGAGTACCTGTGATGGCTCTGCGAATCTCTGTAGTGGCTGCTTCTCTCATCTCGAGAGAAGCCTGCTCACTGTACCAGGCTGTGTGCGGCGTACAGATCAGGTTAGGAGCGTCTTTCAGAGGACCCTGCGCAAAACTACAAAGAAATCAGTGCATAAGTAATATTAAAGAAATACTACACACACACACACACACACACACACAACTGAGCACTGATATCAAACTGTAAAAATCATCAAAGAAATCAGTGCATCAGTAATATTACAGGAACATTCTGAGGACTGCATTGGTCTTTCTGTCCATTACCACTAAAAATATTCTCTCATGTGATCAGTTTTACAGTGGAATAATTAAGATGTTTTTGAAAAAAGTCTCTTCTGCTCATCAAGGCCACATTTATTTGAGCAAAAATACAGTACAAATTGTGAAATATTATTAGAATTTAAAATAGTTGTTTTCTATGTGAATCTATGTTCAAATGTAATTTATTGCTGTGATCAAACCTGAATTTTCAGCTTGAAAAATATATATATATTTTTTATTTCAAATAAAATAAAATAAAATATTCGATTAAAAACATGAAATGAAAATTAGAAATGTTGCTACCGGGGCAGCTAACTGAAACAAAATGTTTCTGTTTAAGTACTAAAATTACTATAATAAAAAATAAAATGAAAATAAATTAAAACTAAATATTTAAAATGTTTTTTAATCTAATAAAAATGACAAAAGCCAAAAAAATGTAATCAATTCATATAAATATTTCATAAAAATATAAAACTTGAAAATTAGAAATGATACCTTGGAAACTGAACTGAAGTGCTAAAATTACTAAAACTAAAACCGAAATAAAATTTAAAATAAAATTTGACATCTAACTAAATTAAATACGTTTACATTCATATACTAAGATAACTAAAACTAAAAATGAAATAAAAATAAAGCTAAATATAAAAAAAGACAAAAGCCCACAAAGTTACGAAAACTTTTAATAAATTAAAATGAAAACCAAAAATATTAAAAAAAAAGCTAATTCAAAATATTAATAAAAACTATAATGCCATATAAATAATACTAAAATAGCACTAACATGGGGACAGAAAGAGTCGTGACATAACTATATGTAAATAATTCTTTACATGAAAAATCTCCACCCACTTTTAATGACATAATTTACATATAATCAAAATTAATCTACTCTGAATAGCCTTCCCAACTCAAAGGACAATTTAGACATTCAAATAAGACATTATTAGAAGAATTAGTTTAAAAAGAAATCTAATTACATTTACAATTTCTGCTTTTAATTCTCTGGAAGTTTTGATGTTGAACAGACTGAATGTGTGGAGCAGCATGTTCACCTGAAGGGTTCGGTCTCGTGGACGTCGAGAGCAGCTCCTCGTATCCGGCCCTCCTTCAGCGCCTGAGCCAGAGCCTTCTCATCCACCAGACCTCCTCGAGCCGTGTTCACCAGGAACGCCCCCTGACGCATCT